TATCGTCACTACATTGGGCAGGGAGGCGGGGGGGGGGGGGGGCTTAATTCAGACATTTCAAGGTCAAAGTGGTCTGGTTTGTCTTTTCTGTTAGCCTTTCTTGTCCCACAGCCTCAATCTGACCTCTGACTAATTAACTGATACAGCTTGACTTATCGGTTAGTGTGACTTGAATACTAAAAGTAAACACTGAGTTTTTCTGGAAAATGTAGTGGCAATCTGCCCTTTCCTTATCTTATTTATTTTTCTTCCACCCTTTTTTGTATTACTGACCAAACTTTTACTCTCTGCCGTATTTTAAACCTCCCTTTCACAAACATTTTTTCTACTTAAACTTCTAATATGCTAAGCCTAAATGCATTGATTTTAAATTTAGATGCAAAGAGTTTTAACTAAAAATAATTGAATCGAGAATTAAATTAGTTTCTCACTCACTCTCCCTCCACAGGGTGTGTGCTCCCAGAAATGCTACCGCATGTTCATCATCGAGACGGTTTGTGTGGGCTGGTTCTCGCTGGAATTTCTGCTACGGTTCGTGCAGGCGCACAGCAAGCTGGAGTTCCTCCGTGGACCCTTGAACATCATTGATGCCATGGCCATCCTGCCCTACTATGTGTCTCTGATAGTGGATGAGAACCCCACCAGTGAACATGAGCGACCCTCTGGAGGTAAGGGCTACCTGGATAAGCTTGGGTTGGTACTGCGAATCCTACGTGCCCTTCGTATCCTGTACGTCATGCGGCTTGCCCGCCACTCTCTGGGCTTGCAGACGCTGGGGTTGACGGTGCGGCGAAGTATGCGCGAGTTCGGCCTGCTGCTGCTCTTTCTCTGCGTAGCCGTGACACTTTTTTCGCCTCTGGTGCACCTGGCGGAGAGCGAGCTGACCGGAGTGCAGGATTTCAGCAGCATTCCCGCCTCTTACTGGTGGGCGATCATCTCCATGACTACAGTGGGTTATGGGGACATGGTACCCAGGAGCATACCCGGTCAGGTGGTGGCTCTCAGTAGCATCCTGAGTGGGATCCTAATCATGGCCTTCCCGGCCACTTCCATTTTCCACATGTTTTCCCGCTCCTACCAGGAGCTGAAACAGGAGCACGACAGGCTCTTTAAAGAGGAGTGTGCGGCAGCCGCAGCTGCTACCACAGGACCTGAGGATGAGCAGGACAGAGGATGGGTGGCCTTTCCTCCTCCCAGACTAGTTCTTACTCCAGACACAGAGACGCCAGGCTCCTTTGAAGACCTTTCTCTTCTTGGGAATGGTGGAGAGACTTCTGGGAAGAACAAGCACCCGTTACCAGCTGGAGCCTTTTAAGTGATGCACATGCGTTGTACTCTTCTCTAGATCAAACTTGATCTTCCATGCCCTCATACTGAACCCTCTTGCAGTGGACAGGGTGAATTTTCATAGACGGCTCTGTCTAAAAAGTTTAAAGGTCCTTGAAGCTATTTTGTCTTCCGTCAGCCACAAGCTAATCATGTCTCATTAAAGTACTAATTCTTTCATATTCACACTGTGGACAGATTTAGCACTCCATGAAAATCCATACTATAGAAATAAAAAATAAAGCTACATAGTTTAACTTTAAAGCCTTGTTCCACACCGTTAGACATACAGCTGAGAATTTTAGGTTCCTCAAATTGACTGTCTACATTTTTTAACAAATCCAAAGATGTATTTATTGGTTGACTGTTTAAGGTTCAAGAATTGCTCTTCCAGAAAACTTTCACATATCATTTCCTGTGCCAGTTTGGGACAGACATGCTCTTGTACAGGTCAAAATAAAAACAGCAGTAATCTCAATGTCCTGTCCTGTTTTTTCGGGTTCATAGAAGGATTTTCTAATCCTCTTCTTTGAAATGCTCAATCATTAGACACAGTTACCTTGTTCTCTTCTCTTCATTTTACAAAACAGCACATGTGCCCATACCATCTGCCAGCTCTGACATGCAGCAGTTACAGAGTGATGAATCTATGATTGTTTTAGTGACCTCAACAAGGTCAGCCTAGTTTTGGTCGTTTTCATCTCTTCTTGCTGAATTCCTTCTAGGAGAGTGTGCTGCCCCCAGGTGAAGAGCTCTGTATAAGGTCAAAAAATTGTCCCACTGCCCAATGCTTGCAAGGTCCAGCGGGTTGGGGGAAGAATCTTGATGAGGCTGGGGATTAAACATGCAATAAATTCATAGAGATAAAAAGTCCTTCCGGAGTCAGACTCTGTGACGGATTTTGCTTTGTCAACAAATTACAAATTTGCACCTCTAATCCAGTTATTCAGTCATGTTGCATCATAAATGACCTTGCTGCCATTCCGAAAGTCCCAGAAGACTGAGTCATGGATCGGGAAAAGGTACAGAGAAAACCAAGAGGCTTTGATGGACTGATCAAATTACCTGTGTAGCTTTTCACAGGATTAACCAGCTTGTTGAATCATTAAATGGACATCAGCTTGTTCTTGATGTAAAGGTTTATCACTTGTTTATCTTTCATGATTGACACAAGCAGAGCCAGGTTAAAGTCTCAAATGGTCTAGGGGTGTCTCAGTCCACTAACTAACCAGATAGTCAACCATTTCTGTCAGAATCACTATATTATACTAGAAATGTCATCATGTGTTCTTCATACTTTACAAAAAAGGAGGATATGAATATTTCATAATGGTACTGCTACAATGAAGCCAACATATACCATGCCATTCTCTACTGTGATGTTGTTGATAAATGCACAACATTTAATGCACAATTGAAATTGTGTTGCAGGTCATTGAGTCATTGGTGTCCCAATGTTTAGTACTTAAATTCATGGTCACGTTACACTGATCCTAAATTGTTATGTAATATATCCGGGAAGAGAAAACCATATTCTTATCCATTTTGATAGAACATATTCTATTGCAGTAACAATTCACATGAACTTAATAACCATCTGCACCATTTAACAGCATTAAATGTGGGGAAGCTTCGTGAGATATGCCATCAGCTCAGCTATAAAGATGCTTTTAGCCATAGTGCTTACTGAGAAATCTTGTTGAAGGAAAGCTTGAATGATATATCATATGCCATTATTTATCAAGGCAGGCCATATCTAGATGGCAAATGTCTTCTGCTGGCATCAGTGATTGATGTAGAAAGCATCAAAGAGGGTTTAAGAGGCAATCTGTCTGATCTACTTGATGGTAAGATTGATTCCTATTCAATGGGTAAGTTGCTTTTTAGTTTTCAAAGTGTAGTAAACCTAACATTTAGTTCTCAAGTCTTCAAGTCAATCCATTTACAGTACAGTCTTAAGCAACAGGTCAATGGTGTGTGTGTGTGTGTTTTAACGTTTCAGAGTGTATAGTTGTGGTTGATTGTTATGGTTATGTTGTGTGTTTCTGACAGGTATAAAGTAGTCCAAAGGTGGATGGATGGATGGATGGCCATTCCTGTCTCTCTCATTCTCCCATGACTTCTGATGGTCTTCATTCGTCATCCAGGACTCAGAAGGCAAACATTCCATTCATTCATTCATTAACTTATCTATCTATCTATATTCATATAATTATTTTTGCACCAAGAATCTCATAATTTAGTTTTTAGACTCCTAATTTACCATTTCCCAACCTTTTTATTTTTCCCAATTTTTTGCTGCTGTCCCTTTAAGATGTCCATATATATATATATATATATATATACAGTATATATATATATAATTTTCATATGTGAAATCAGTAACATCACTTTTGTATGTGCTTACATCTTTCAATAACAGCCACTTGGCAAAGCCTGCTTTACATTATGATATTTCGCAAAACTCATCCACACTGAAATATAGTGCATAAACTGTGAAGGTCAGGCTAAAATTATTAAAAAACTGTACTTGTTTCTAATGGCAGGATATGCAAAGCAACACAACCTGGAACAGAACCATATTTGTCTAGTTTCATTTTACTGATATCATTAGTTATTATGGTGTTTAGAATGATATCTTTTATGTTTCTTACTTTTTCCTCATTACTTGACCTTGACTGAGCAGCCCAGTTTATGAATGCTGAATAGATGTTATTGATGTGTAAATGTGGGTGGTGTCACACACCAAGATGTTTTTGCAGCGTAGTTTCATCAAATGGCCTTTTTAAAGGGGTCATCGGATGCAAAATTCACTTTTGTTGTTGTTTGAACATAAATGTGTGTTGGAAGTGAGTGTAAACATCCATCCTATATTGAAAAAAATCCACCCAGTGTTTTTTTTAAAATCCCTATTTTAAAATCCCCTTTCTTAAATCAGGCTGTTCTGAGATTCCTGTCAGAATTACGTAGTTTTGCACAGGCCCCTCCCACGTTGATTGACACTAGCGTCTTACCTCAGACCCACCCTGAGTGAGCTGTCATCAGTCCGCCATTGTGTCGACTCCGGTGCAGGGGAAGACCAGAACGTCTCAGATTAAGCGATTGAGGTGTTCTGTTGTTGGATGTAATAATGAACATAGCAGTCGTCATTTATTCCCGACATCTGAGCCGCTGAAGACGCAGAGGATTAACGTTACTTTCATTTTGAAGGGAATGTGCCGATCCCCGATCTGCCTAAATGCGTCTATGTTCTCACGAATCATTCGTGATCGAGCTTCATCTACACAAGAAGTGAGTATAAGGTTTTTTATGAATCTTTACAAATCGCCTTTCCTAATATGTGCTAGTTAGCAAGTTTCGCGGCTAAAGTAAACAGTACTGCTTGTCACCCCACAGAAGAAAGGGGTGGGGTGAGCAGAGCTCATTAGCATTTAAAGCAACATGGACTAGAATGACGTACTGAAAACAGAGCTCATTTTGACAAGGTAAAAAGGCTGTTTTTT